ATATATATGCGTTTCAAATATAAGTCATGTTTATAATTATAATTTTTGGTAAATGTCAGATAACTGGGACAGATTTGAATCAATAGAAGTGATTGTTTGTGGTGTCTCAGGCAGTGGGCAGATCCAGCTGTGGCAGTTCCTCCTGGAGCTCCTGTCCGACAGCACCAACGTCTCGTGCATCGCCTGGGAGGGCACCAACGGCGAGTTCAAGCTCATCGACCCGGACGAGGTGGCCCGGCGCTGGGGCGAGCGCAAAAGCAAGCCCAACATGAACTACGACAAGCTGAGCCGCGCGCTGCGCTACTACTACGACAAGAACATCATGACCAAAGTCCACGGCAAGAGATACGCGTACAAGTTTGATTTCCACGGCCTGGCGCAGGTGTGCCAGCCGTCCACCACCGAGCAGGCCATCTACAAGTTCCAGGGGAACTTCTCCCCGATCCCGTTCACTGGTTTCTCCAAACTGAATCTGATGACGCCCGGCGTGGGGCCTTCGGGGTTCCCGTACTGGCCCGGTTCCCCTCCCGCTGCTCTGTATCACAGCCACAACCTGCAGCCTCCTGGGCCCATTGGCACAGTGTCTCCATCCCACATCAGCTGCGTCAACAACATCAACAGTCTGAGCAACATCAGTACCCACTACAACTGACTCTCACTGAGGACTGAAGGAGGCGGTTAAGTGTCCACACAGGTCGGCTTTGACAGATTAAATATTTCTTGATTTGACTCCCCTCATTGGCACTTCCTGGCTAAAGGATGCGCAACACTTTAGTGTTAGGGAAAAMAATATAATATGGTCGTGAAATTGTGAAATATGTTCCCCACAATTAACCAGTGCAGTAACCTGCTACTGAAATACTGAATACAAGCAGGATCTGCAAAATAAAGTAGAAAACATTTAGATAAATTGTATTTCGCTGAGATGCATTTTGTGTCCAGAATTATTCTTTTTAAACGCACCAAAAGGTCGGATTTTACGCACAGTGGATAGAATCCTTTACGCGCGATATTTTGCAAATTACATAAATCCGGAGACCTCCCAAAATATAGATTTCTTAATTTTAGCAACAGTTTGAAGAACTCAATTAGAAAAATAAAGAAACACTTTAAACGGGGGACTTGAGGGAGGAAAACAAAGAGCGTACATTAAAACAAAATCAAACAAAACAAAGAAAATGTCAACATAAAATAATCAAAGACACGTTTCTATCAGCTAAAAATCTGATTTWCTGTTTCTGTTCGTCCATCACTGCAGTTTTATTTTTAATATCCGACTGGATTTTTGTGTTTAGGAGCGAATCAACCAATTATTAGTGGATCTCTGGCGCCATCTCGTGGTTGAAAACTGGTATGTCCTTCTTGTGTGATATACAGCATTGACAGTTGATTATTTGCATTGGCATAAAATGCATCAGATCAAACTTCACCTAGATTTATACACAGTAACAATAAATTTGGTTCAGAAACAGAGTTTTATGTTAAATAGGCTGAACAGTGACAAACTGATGAACTCTGTAAATACAGTAGGTTTTGGTGCAGACAGACTCATTGTGCTGCTTTTTTAATGATTTCATTGCAAATTAACTGACTGATTAATTTAGCTTCATATTGTGGCTTCAACGAGTGTTCCAATGGAGAAAAATCAAGTCAATAAAATTACATTTATAAATATATCTCTTGGTTTATAACCAAGATGTTTTGATGTTCTGCTTATTACTTGGAGTATTCATTCATGTTATGCAAATTTACGCAGCTATTTTTGCAATTTGACTGAACCTGGGATCCTCTTTGACTCAGAGTGTGTGGACCTGACAAAGGAAGGACTCTTAAGAACTCATTTTGAACTGTTCCACAATTTTCTCCTTCTAACCCACAAAATAACAGCAACAGAAACTGGTCTGTTGCTGGTTGGAGTGTRCAGATAAGTCAATTAAACAAGAGCATAATGACACAAATATCCTTAGTAATCATTTTTACTTCATACTATCTCTAATCGGACTTGAACATTTATAACTCAGTTTCTTCACCAAACTTTTCCTGCAGCGTTGCTGGAAGCCAGTGTCACCAGAGGCCACTGTGCAAGAAACTGAGTACATTCTGATGTTAAGTTGTTAATCCATCACAGAACCACATAGGCAAACAAGACACACAACCATTCACACACACTCACACACAGGAACACATTGATTTGATTTGATTTGATTTATTTATTTAACAGGAAAAGATTACTAAAAAACAAGCCTGACTCAGCATAATTGCTGTTTTACAGCAGGTTCCTGTTCTGCAGCACATAAAACACTC